AAGCCGCGGGGCACGGGGGCAGCGGGCCAGCCCAGACAGGCCGTGGCTGTCCTGCTGCCCGCGGGCTCCACGGCTTTGCTCTGCTTTGCTCCCTGTCTCCCTGGTCTGCAGACCAGGGGGACGGGGAGCAAAGTGGTGGAACACGTGGGCAGCGGACAGCCGCTTTGCTCCCGCTTTGCTCCCAGGGAGACGGGGAGCAAAGCAGAGCAAAGCCAAGGAGCACACGGGCAGCGGACAGCCCAGACATGTCTGGGCTGTCCGCTGCCCGCGTGCTCCGCCGCTTTGCTTCCTCTCCCTGGTCTGCTGGAGACCAGGGAGACGGCCCCGTTCGTAACTGCGGATCCGACGTAAGTCGGATCCGCGTAACTCAGGGACTGCCTGTACTATGATCTTTGCTATTAAAGCAAGTCACCTGAAAGGAATCAGCACTAGGGACATCTCCACAGTTTACAAATGCAACAAGCCATTGAAGCAAATCTTTGCTGCTGAATTGAACTTCCCAATGCCACCCTCAGACTATCAAGCAAATGATTGGCTAATTAAAATTGCAGCAAGTGAGTGTATGGGTCAGGTTTTTACCTAGAGTCCTCAGTTCCATTCCCTGATGTTATTTTTCTGAAAAAACAAATGCAACCACTTTGAAAGCAGAGCTAAAAATGTCCACAAAAATCAACATTATGTTTTGCACAGTAATACGGACATATTCACTGGCATGAGAGAACATGACACCAATGGCAGGCTCAGGACAGGACAGTCTCAGCTTTAGATTTCTCTTCCTGTAATTACTAATTAACTCCAGACAAACCATTTTTTAAGTTGTTGTTCTCCCAACTTGCGCACTGCTCTGAACTATGCCCTCTAACAATAAGGCAGAGTTCAAAGATGCAATTCTAGGTCACAATAAAAAAAAACAGATTGCCTCCCACCCAGCCCAAGGAATCTTTATGGTTAACTAGAATCTTGTTTACACTTTACAATTTAGCTCTTCCCCATTGCTTACAAAGTGTCTGCTCAGCAGTTCCAAATCTGAGATTGTTTTTCTTTTTCCGCAACAGTATCTCCCTGATGAGAGCTTTGCTAACCGAGAGCTGTGAATGGACAAACATAGAAAGGACTCTTGAAACACTAGAGAATAAGAACCTTCTGAAGCTGCAAACTCGAACTCCTAGCCTGTATTGTAGTAGATCAGGGTAGTCAATAGGCGGACTGCAGGCCAAATGCAGACCACAAGATGCTTTTGAGCAGATCCCAAAGTCTTTTTAATTACTCATCATTACTATTGAGATTTTTATTATTATTATTTTCTCTGCTGTCTAGACCTTGACTATACCTTGATCAAGTAATCTGAATCTCGACAAAAAACAATTGATTATCACATCCTAGTTTTAAAGTAACTCCCTTATTAAACCCTCACTGCTCTCCTCCTCACAGCTGAAATCACTGATCTTATTTTGCTTCAGTGGTTTGCTTTGTGAAACTCCTAGCTCTTGTCTCCACTCCCAGTTCTTCCTGTCCCTAAGCAAGCTGGGGCTGGAAGCACTGAAGAGAGAGTGCGCCCTGGCAGAATCAGATGATTTATTGGCTCAGTAGCAGTCTTATAGCTCTGACTCAGGGTGAACTCTGGGCCCCAGGAATCTAGCAATCATTGTCTTTTTGGGAGGAGGGGGCATTTAAGCCTCGCTCTTTATTTTTTTCCTCTCCCCAGTGCAATATACTCCCCATCCCTCCCTTTGAACACTCATGTTTTAATTGCTTTTAAAGCCTGTTCCTTATTGTTGCTCATCCCTGTGTGAAAATCCCTCCAGTACAACAAACAAAGCGATAAAGAAGAAACAAAACAGCTTCTGAAAATCATTTTGTTCAGCTGTGAGAGGAAGTCACAAAGGTCCAAGCTGGGGTGAAAAGGTCCTTACCGAGGGCTATGCAAAGGCAGTGCTTTTAGAAATCCAACCCTGCTCTGTCAATGCAAAAAGAAGTTGGCCTTCAAGACCCACTCCACCATTGGCCAAGAAGCCGTCCTTGTGACACTCCTTCCCAGCCAAAGTTGATAATGTTAGACCAAAAAAAAAAGGGGGGGGGGGGGCAGGGCACAGCATCGGGCACAGACAGTACTCACAGAATGGATCTCTTCTAACTCACAGTGAAGAGGAAAGGAGGAGGAAAAACACCAAAAGGCAGCAAGGAGTCAACAGGGAGTGAGAAGATAAGCCTGTGAGGCACACAGGAGGCAGATGGGTCCCTCTCCACTACCCCTACCATCTTCTGCTTACAACCCTGCACAATTTCATAAGCCTCCAGCTAGCTTCTTCCGAGGACCTGGCCTTCCTTCTCATGACCACGAACAGGCTCTGGCCTTGAAGTTGGGTTTCTGCAATGCTGTCAGGGAAGACGCCATGGGCAGCAGAAAACGAGATATGGAACTATATACATATCCCATTCTGATGCCAGACCCGGGATAAAGTTGCCCTGCAGCAGATCAGCAAGTAAGAAACAGCAGCAAAACAACCTCTAATTCACTTTGCCACAGGCTGAAACCCATCATAAAAAGATACCCTAGCACTAGCAGGCAGACTGCATGTCAATAGGATGGAGTCTCTGCTGCGGCTGGCTTATGACAGCAAAGGGGCCCTGTACTAGTAAATTAATTAATGTTAACAGGGCTAAAGGTTTCTTCCTTAGCAGGCTGACAAGGTAGTGTGTCCTGATTCTTGGTTTCTTAGAATACATATCCCAAAAATTGGCCTGAGAAGCATCCTGGACTGGCTTCACAATAAAACAATAAAAAAAAAAATTACATAAAAACAGTTTGCCTAGATCAAGAGGATATTGCCTGTGTGAGAATGGCTTGTGTCCATTCTGGCTGTTAAGTACCAAGTCCTGGGCAATTCCCCTGCAGCTCTCGCTCAGAAATTTGTTCGTCTGCATAGCACAAGCAGCAAGGAAATAGCAAAGTAGAGGACTTTGCAGATGCTTGCATGTGCTAAGGGCAGGTACCACTCGCTCAGGCTAACAAGGAGGAATGCTGTTTAATAGCGCACGTCTAATAAAACCGTTCATTGTCATAGTTTGGCCTTTGTCAGGGGCGGCAAATAAATATTTTCTGGTTAAGTGTAACCAACAAAGCGTAGATTCGATGCCTGAAACTCATTAGGATAGTTTAGAGAGCAAATTACTACCAACCCCAACTTGATTCCCATAGTGAATTCTCTGCAACTCGTATGAAGTGCGAGCACAGTCAATGCCACTTAATGTGACACACAGTGTGTTCCATTCAAAACAGGCCATTTACCACCCACAGCAGTTACATTCCTCATGGTATTGGAGGCATTTCCCATGCTAAGTACAGGGAAGACCGCAAATACCGCAGTAAAAGACAAGGTTTGGGCATAGTAAACTTCCCTTTTTCTTCTTTTATTTTTAAGTGGCTAATGCACAAAAGCTTCAAGAAAGTTTCAGGCAGAAGAAATGGCCATTTCTGGCATCATATGAGTTTAAATAAGCTTCCAGGTTTTTAATAATGCGCTGAGATTTCTCAGTTTATGAGGTCAGGCTGAGGAGCGTACTGAGAACAGACAGCACATTAGGGTCTCCCCAAATGGAGGTAACATCAGCTGTTGGCGTTCTAGTTTCACCAGTCTCTGTCACAGAGCCATCCAGCTATTGCTCTAATCTAGACTGCCCTGGAAACTTAGCACCCTGGAGAGACCAGCAACACGATCAAACGCTTCCGTTTCACTTTGTCAATTTACATTTCTCCTCCCCAAAGCCAACTAAAGCAGCAGCAGCCACAGAGCTTGTTACCTGGGGACAAACACTTCATTGTGGAGGTAATTCTCAAATGTTTTGCGGAAGGCAGACTCTTCCTGCTCCTTCTGTATTTGAGAGTCAGTTTTTGGACAGGAACAACAATCCCCTCGGGCGTCCTCTTTTTCACTTTGATTATTTTTATGAAGGTCTTCAGATTCAGAATGGGGAGACCAAATCCTCGATGGCAATTTTAGTCCTATGGCAAAAATAATTCTTATATCACTCACACACCCTGCAAAAGTCACTGGTTGGTTAGCAAAGAAGTTGAAAGTCTCAGATTTTTTTAAAAAGTCAGAACTAGTTCCAGGTTATTCCCCTTGAAACCCACTGGGTTGACATGAATTTTTGGCCTGCTCCTCACCCATGGAGCTTTGGAATCCAGATGCTGCATCCCGACTAGTAGCTTGTCACATGTACACCATCAGCAGCATACCATCCTGCCATGGATGAACCATTCCAATTAACTGCTGAACATTCAGTCAGCTCAGCTTTGCCATGCTGGGCCAACATGCAACATAGCGGATACGCTTCTCAGCCCTGAAAGGGGGCCTGTATTGGCAGATCAGAGGTTGGAAGTATGATCCCAGGTGAAGCAGAGTTCACAAGTCAATGGATGTTTATGACATGCTGAGAAAGACACTGGTGACATGTTTAAGAGCTTACACTGGCTTTCAAACTAGGATTAAGCACAGTACATCCCTGGCTGTAGTCAAAGGGGGGGGTTGTACCATGGCTTGGCCAGCTGTGGTGGGTGAAGCCAATAACTTGTAACTAGGAGCTGCTGGACCATAAAACATTCAGTCTGGTCCTCTCACATTCGGGGCCTAGAAGTCTCTAGTCTGCAGATATAGCCTCTGGCCCCAACCTGTCCTTGTTCTGTCACAACACTTACAGACAGTGTGATAATTAAACTGTGTTGTAGCCAAGTGGGATTTGACCACGATTCATCCAGTCAAGTAGGGACAGAGCCACAAATGACAGATGTAGATCTTGAAAGACACCAGTAAATCTCTTGCGCCCCAAGACAACTCTAGAAGCCACAGAGAGGGTTACATAGCATTCCAGGATGGTCCCAATTACAGAAGCCCAACAATATTTCATGTCACACTTATTAGCTTTGATAAAATGGGTTGCCCAGATTAAACGAAGCAAGAGAAGACGGCAGATCCCATGAGAGTTGAAAAATCTGAGTTTACTATGTTCAAATCAACCAACCATTCCTCACAATCGCTTATGGCAGGCCTGGAAATAGCAACCAGGTGAGTGGGGAACCCAGCCTTAACAGCTCCGGCTACCTAACTGTATGCTTCTAGAGCATCATCCGCTAACGTGCCATCTCCCACGTGGAAGAGAAGGAAACCCCACTGCTAGAGTGAGCGCAGGAGAGACTGGAAGCTTGAATGTTCAACCTACGAGATGAGGCAGGCAAAAAGGCACCTACCCTTCACACAGTAGTCGAGTTCGTAAAGCTCACTGTCCTCGGGCTGCTGCAGCCAGAACACCAGGTAGTGTGTGATGTTCCCATTCGGCTCAGAGGGCGGCTTCCACTTCAGAATAATCTGGGATGAAGAGTTGGAAACCGATATTGGATCTAATGGGACGGAGGGAACTAAAGGGAGAAAGACACAGAGGTCACTCACATCACTCTACCAAAAGAGACCAAGGACACGTGGCAAGAATTGTTGTGGCACTTTGGGATTCAACCCAGGCCAGGGTGGGGTGCTGTTACTGCCTGCCCTGCACTTCTGGGCTCCTTCAGTTCTGTGCTACCGTAGCTCACACACCTTGACCCCCAATAGCCAGCCTACACCCAAGCAGGAAACACCCTGGCTTGCACCGCCCAGTTACTTTTGGCAAAATGATCCTCCCAGTCCTGCACTTCCCCCAAACCATCTGTCCTGGGACCATCTCCAGTGGCTCCCAAAACTGAGAGTTACTGTATTACCCCTTTCAGACAACCCACCTTAGAGACAGGAGGGGCAGAGCCACCTTGCACTCCCCACACGACTCCCAGCCCTACCTATTGTCTGGTACAGGCAAGCCACTTTTTTCCACTAAACTGGAGCCTGCTCTCTGCCCCGTGGCTGAAGCATACAAAAACTGACCCAGGTCCTGAGCTGTTGATAATCCTCCTCACAATAAGGGAAGGCTGAATCTTACTCCAGGCCTCCCAGTGCCCCTGGTGTTGCCTGTCTCTTCCCTGGACTGGCACTATCTTTGTATTTTGCACAGCAAACACTCACAAATGCCGGCTCTTAAGTAAGTAATTCTGGGGATTCAATTCAGCTCTCCCCAATGTGGGGTGGTTCCCCCATATATTATTTATAGTCTTCTAACCCAGCCTTAGAATACTGGGACTGCCCTTTTCCTACTCATTACTTAGTTTGTCAACAGAAATGAAGGGAGAAAAGTCCTGCATGGAAGAAAGAAGTTCAGGCCTCCTCCTCCTCCCCAGATTCAGTGGTGCATGACGACACTTCAGCAGAGTTATACCAGCGTGTGAGCACACTCATGTACAAAGAATGAATGAGGAGCCTGTGTGTGTTCTAGTCAGTGGAGAGACCAAGAACCATGCAGCTTTGTATTCAGGCAAGGGGTTGGGAGGTATGTTTTGCATTGCCATACGCAAGGGGACATTCACTGGCCACCACTCACCAGTAGCATTGGTGTGGACATAAATAATTTCGCTCTTCGCGCCGTATGTCCTGCGTTCGTCCGAGAAGGTGACCAGAGTTTTAACAAACACGGCATACTGTGTCCAGGGCTTCAAGCCCCGCAGCAGCCACCCTGGCTGGGACTGAATTTTTGCGTCATTTGACCGTGGGGGAGGGTCAACGTCAACGACTGTCCAACTATTTGATCCACAGGCATCTTGTCCATCAAACTCAGTCACATTCTGGTATGGCCGTCCAAACTCCCCATTTTTTGAAATAATCACACACCACAGACCACAATGATGCTTTACACCCAAGATGGCCAAGAGCTTTACAGAGCATCACAACACCTGAAGAACTGGAAGCTTCTCCACAAACAAATGGAGGAGTTCTACTCTTGCTTTCCAACAAAGGGAGACAGACCTTCGCCCTTTTGTTCACCCAGCCTGTCTCTCACATGCCCTGCTCTGTCTGCAGTGATTTACAGCTGGCTTAGGAGAGTAACAGAATGAATGGCAATCAGACAGAAGGGGCTGTAATTTGATCAGTTATAAGGAAGCTCAAAACCATTGCTTGAGGCAGCCCCGCTCAGTTCTCGTCAGGATCCAAATTAGTTCTTGTCACTAACTGCATTGTCCACACCCGAGAACACAACACAGCAGTACTCAGAGCCCAAAAAGGCTCAGGAAAGCTAAGAACGCTCTCACATTGTGGCTGGATGACTTTTTAAAAAGTGAATTCAGGGACATGGGCTCCATAACCATTCCAGACATGAAAGGCGCAGTAGAATCTAACCCAAGGAGTGAGCAGATGTTCTGTAGGGACATCGCCTACAGATATCTCTGCCATTGCCCATCTGGCACATAGGGAAGGCAACAGTCATCATCTGGGAGTGCCCTCCATAGGAACCACTCAGCCATACCGGCCAGTCCTACGTCTTACCAGCCAAACTGCGGCAACTGAATTTTAATGTTTAATTTTAAAAAGGGCTTAAGTATTACAGAGCTCTCTCCTGCTCACCAGGATACAGGGAAATGCTTCTTTCCAAAAGTTCAGGAGTCAAAGGATCCAGAAATACCATTCCTTAAAATGCATTTTAGCTCCCCAAGCAAGCTCCATATTATTAGCTGTGCAAGGGCTTCCCACCATGGGACAGCTCAAAGCTCTGAGTTCACAGAAGAGGGAGCAGCTTCCTGGGAAGGGATTTTGTGAAATTTGTATCTTACTGCTGGTGTCAATAGTTTGCTTAGTTTTCTGCCTGTTGATAAGGGTTTTGATCTGAGCCCACAGAACAATGAGGGTTTATGACATTACGCAGAAATTCTGGGTGTGGAGGGGGAGCTAATATTAAGGCAGATTGTGGTCAGGATCAACAGAGACACTTTGATAACCTGATTTTTAAAAAACTACTCCAGTTCGAAAAGGTACCCCACTCCTTGGTGTAAATGGAGAGGTGAAAAATATATATGGCGTCTGTGATTAAGTGTTGAATTGAAGACGTTTTAGTTCTAATTGTTATGTTACTCTTTGAAGAGTATTTTGGCTGTACCAGACACAATTAAGGCAAGAAGCATAACGAGCACATATGCAGCAGAAAAGTGACACTGGAAAGCTACATGAAATGGTTAGACGTTTACAAAGATTAAACAGGGGTAGCAATGATTGGGATGAAATCTGTTCTTTAAGGTCAGAAGTAGTCTATGGAAGTACACAGGGCCAGTAACGGACTGTGTGGCTTTGGCTCATCTGAGTTGGCATCCTCCCAGAGCTACTGAACAGATTTCTCTACTTACGCTTCCTTGTAGAAAAGCATAAATCCCAGGAGATCACGGAAGTCAGGCGGCCAGTATGGCTCCCACTTGAGTAGGATCTTATCATGAGTTGTTCTGATATACGAAAACTTCAGCAATTCATTTTCACCTAACACAAAAGGCAAAGGACATTGCTTTTTACTTTATTTTAAAACAGAAATGGCTCCTATACGTTCCTGCTTTGCAAAAACACTTTTTAGAACCAAAGGTCTGAGAAATGCTTAGCGCCAGGAAGAACTTTAGATTACCGTTTGTACACGACAGCAGTGTGAACAATCCAAATGGGTTTCTTGACTGGTTTGCTCAACAAATTCATTTTACAGGTTCTCTGTTTAGCGAGATGTTTGTTGTCACATCTACCCACTAGTACTTGTTAAGCAGTGTAGATGACTTAGGTCAGAAATAACTGACACCTATAAAAGTTCTTATACGAGACTGTACCTGCGTGACTAGGTGTTGGGAATAAAGAGCATTAAAGCAAGAACCGGAGATGGGACTTTTTGCTTAATGTCAGTGGTTCAGCATGTGGAGACAAAAATGAGCTGAGCTAAGTAGCAAAAAAATGGAGGAAGAAGCAAAACTGAACAGATCTGAACATGCCAAATCTAGTGAAAAAATCTGATGTTCACAAGTGCACAGTCTACAGAATGGAGAGCAATGAGAACCCACAGTCAATTATTTAAAGCGATAAAGAAATAGAAGCAGTCTCAGGGAGGTCCAGGAATCAACCAAATTGAGAGAGAGAGAAATCTAAAGACTAAACGGTTAAAATTCACACAAATATGCAGAGACAAGACCAATGAAATGGTTTGTGAAGCTGCTGTATCTTTTCCTCTACTTTGATGAAATGCCCCGTCCTGTCAGGGAATAGGAGTGTCCCACTGCAGAGAAGAACCCGGACGACAAAGCACTGCATGAGGAGAAGGCTTACAGTCTAAAGGACCCAGGAAAAACAAATTGTGAAGCACTGATTGTATTTGCCAACCCTGCAGTAGCTGCATGAGGGAGGAAGATTTAAGTTTGCTGGTGTTTAGTTCAGAAAAAACAATGGATTTTCTTTTATAAGCAATTTGCTTCCAACTTGAAAACTAGAGCTGAAACAAACAAAAAGCCAAACGCCAACAATGGGCAGAGTGGGACAGGCGTGAAGAGGAGTATACCACAGCTGGATCCACCAGAGGAAGGCTACTTTAAAGACAATGCAGACAGCCTGCCTGGCAGCTTTGCACCAAGAATCACACACGACCATTCAAGAGCATGGTCTGGTCACCAGAGGCAGTCTTGCTGTGCCCACTGACTGTGGGAAAAGCCCATTGCTGCTCTTTAGGTGGGGAGGGGACAGAAATCCTGCAGTTGCAGCACCCTTAGATCCAGCTCACCCTGCCTCACTTAATGTTGGGGTGTGTCTGAAAGGCTCAACTGGCACCTGTTTTGCCCAGCTCAACCAAGGGAAGGCTTGTTTGAGTGGCATTTCTGGCTGGGAACAGGGTGATAGGCCAGCTGTGAGTGCTCAGGGTAGGGATGTTAATTACTGGTTAACTGAATAGTCAAGTAACCTCATGAAATGTTATTGATTAGTTGACTAGACTATAATCCCCAGGGGCGGGGCCGGCAGCCACTATATCAGAGGCAGCAGCGTGGGGTGCCAGGCGTGAGCTGGTCTGCGAGGGAAGCCAGTTGAAAAACCAGCTCCCCTTGAGGACCTAACTGCCTGTCACCCTGTGCTGTTGCTTCTGAGAAAGAGGCAGCAGTGCAAGGTGGCAGCAGCCCCTATTTAGGAGAAGTCTGAGCTCCTGGACCCAGCGCAAGCTGAAATTGAGCTGGGCTGCCTGCCCGCCTGGCTGGTTCTTAATACGCTTGACGTGCAGAGCTGAAACAGGGATAGGTCCCGGACCCAGAGTGAGCCAGGACTCAGCCAGGCTGCTGGCCAGCCTGCTTAAAAAAATTTACTGGCAGGAAGAGGGGGAAGAGGGAAATACATGTAGTCTACAGCATTAACCTACAAGCTTTTGCTTATCGGTTAATCGACTGTACTATTACATCCCTAGTTCAGAACTAAGATCCAGGAATGCTGCTGGTAGACCCAAATCTGCTCCCTCTATGTTCTCTAGCTCTGCTGACATGGAACCTGCCTTCTTTACTTGAAAAGAACTGCCAGCTTTATTTTTAGTTACATTTCTGCCTGAAAAGTTTCTTTGACTTGTCACAGAAACCACTCCAACCAAACTGAGCAGAAGTACTTTCCCTCCTTTTCTATTTATTTTGCAGCATACAGTTCAGTGTCACCACTTCCCATTGCACAGAGAAGGGACGTAATTCAACAAGCGCACAGCAGCAGGGCTCATATGCCCTGGTCAGGATCAAGGCTGTGGTGTGTAAAGACACCAGGCTGACCAGTCTCTGCAAAGAGTGGGAGCAGGCAGGGCACCACAAAATACTTTTTAGGGGGAAAAAAAACCTGTATAACCACAACAGCTGGCCAGGGGCCTCTAGGGCAGAAGTCAGACCTGAAACTATTTTAAACTCACAGCAGGTTGATAGTGTCCCTTCAGCTAGCTTACAGAGTAACTGATGTGCCTGGGGCTTTACATAGAGAAGGCCAGGACAGTCCCTGCTCTGAGAAGTCCACAAGCCAAAGAGGTTAGCAAGGGCGTGCATACAGCACAAATCTTGTCCCATTATGAAGCTTTCTTACAAGAGGCTTGGTCGCCATTTGTCTTCAGGGCTATGTCATTCCTCTCCTGACGCCCCTTAGTCCCAGATATCTCCTCCATCTTGTGGATTTCTGATAAGCACAGTTTGGGGTTATAATGAAAGAAGAGCTTCCCCCGTGCTATGGTGAGGTTGTGTTTGTTCCAGTCCCAGAGCTGGCGCAGGTTCTGATTGTCGAGGGCATAGAAGGAGTAATTCCTGTGAGAAGAGACAGACTGGATGAGGACAGGTTCATTCATAAACTGGCTTTTCTAATGCACTAATTCAGACATCAGATGAGAGTTCCCCATACGAAGTAATCGCAAGGACAGGCTGTAACTCTGGGCAGAGAGCCATTAAACACACTTTTAAAAATAATTGGCTAACATTCTCCTGATGACTTACACTGGCCTCCAATAGGTTTAAAACAAACAAACAAACAAAAACACCCACACACCCCAGACTGAAACATCTGATATAAAAGAGGAAAACTCACCCAGCTTCTAATGTCTCCCCTTTAATCAGATGTAGCTTACGAAAAAAAGAAAGAGAAACCAAGGCATAGGAGCGGCGAATTTTTAGGTAACCTGAGATTTCTTCAATCAAACCAAGATTCGCTTCAAGCTCAGCTGCTATATTACCTGGGGAGAAGGAAACAAAAGGGTTAGGCTCTGCAAAACCATGGTAATGAGCACTGATCCTGCAGTTTTCTGGATAGTATTCTAAAGATCTGCTCTGGGAATTACTCTGGGGCAGTTTCATGGCCTGTGTTATACAGGAGGGCAAGTCTAGATGATCATACTGATCCCTTCTTGCCTTATGTTTTGGTAATTAACTACATCGAGGGATTTATTCTTGACTCCCTGTGGGATTCAGGAATGCTGAAGCAGGCTTTCTGCATTCCAGCTTTAAATGCCATGCAGAGATCCCAGGCTCAAAGGACACCCCCTCCCGGCCTTCTTTGACATTCAGTTCTCTCCCCTCTCTCATGCTTTTCCACATTCCCTGATGCAGTGCTTACTTCCTCCACGGATGTTTATGACTAAGCTTCCATTAATGATGGTGCAGCCACGAAGCTCCTGGGCAGAGGTCACAGAATCAATTATTTTCTCTTTGCTGAAATCACAAACCTTCGGACAGGGCCCCGCACATGGAGAACAGTGCAGGCTGAAAAACAAGAGAACGCAAAGATGTAAGAGGTGTTTCTGCAGAGCGTAAAACTGGGACTTCTCCTGCAGTATTCACCCATGCCGGATAATCAGTTGAAAAGATGACAGTACTTTGACACTACGTTGAATTGCTTACTCGCATTACACATAATAATACCTGGCTCTAAAGAGCCTCACATAGCACTGCAATATTCCTAAAAACTATTTTTTTCTTGGTTGACATCCCAGCATTGGAAAACAAGACATCATAACAGAGGACAATGTCTCCTCACCAGTCTGTGAATCAAAACCAGAATGAGGCTAGGTCTACACTACATGATTTGATGTGCTTTGGAAATAGGAGACCTTTTTTTAAATGTCAGTAAAAAGACAAGCTGTTCTTGTAGTTCTGTCACCACCACCTACTTCCGGTATCATTCAGAAGAAGACAGACACCTCTCTTCTAGGAAAAGCTATAGGACAGTGTGAGAAAGAGGACCCTGCTATTGCACAAGCAATGCAGAACCCACTTTTGGGGCTGCTAGGTCACACATTTGAAGTACAAAACAGGAAATAAGACTCAAAAATCCAGTCACAGCACACATTCCACAAAAGTGCTAATCAAGGAGCAAATGTACATGAATAGTCACAGGAAGTCCGATTCAGTTTTATTGTGGGAGAAACAAGGTTTTTCTGTGATCAACAGCACAACTATGTAAATTATTTTATCTTGCATCCTAAAAGCCCTGGGAGTAGTCAGAAAGACTGTATCTTCCCTTTTGCATGTGTAATTCCTGCTTGTTACACTGTCTATTTATCCAAGTATGATGACATTGTCTACAATGGCATATGGCCCATCCACATTAGCTATTGGTATGTATCTCCAACAGCCAGAAATGGGCTATTATATGAGGAGGGCTTAGTAACTACAGAAAATTATTTCCCACATGTCTGGCAGGTGTACCTCAGGGTCCAACGGACTGCCATATGTGGGGCTGGGAAAGAATTTTCCTGCAGATCAAAATAGCAGAGACTGTGGGATTTTTTGCCTTCAAAAAAGCAGAAGGAGCAGCAGAGGGCACTTTCTGGTCTGGAAGTGCAGTAAACGGTAGATTCTCTGTAACCTGAAATCATTAAATTAAGATTTGAGTACTTCAGTAATTCAGCCAGAGGTTATGGGTCAGGAATGGGGTAGGTGAGGTTCTGCAACATGCAGGAGGTCAGATTAGCTGATCATGACGGTCTTTTCTGGCCTTCAAGTCTATAAAACGCAAGACTCGAGTGGCTTCTCAGATCAAGGTATAGAATACAAACCTTGTGTTACAGCAAGTGTGTGTGTAATAAGGCGTGATTCACTACTGACAACACAAGAAACAACACTGGTTTTGTTACACATGGACGTTACTTACTTGCTGGAGTTCATGATGTAGCCCGATGGGCATTCATGAACACACTCATTGTTGTGAATAACATGGCACCCTGATTCCCTGGCATTTTTGCACTTGTTGTGCAGCTCCTGGCAGAAGCTGAAGGTCACACAACGCCACCCCTCAAAGCGATAGTAATTGGCTGGGCAGGTCTCCACACACTTGCCATCAAGGTAAAAGTTACGGCAAACCACACACTTCTCTGGATTGTTGGGCTCCAAGCAGTTGCCCAGGCATTCGCTGTGACAGCACTGACCATCAGAGATGCAGCCTTGTGACTTACAAGCAGGTGGACAAACTGCAAAGACAAAAATGAGACACCTGAGCACTTGAAAGCCTGCTGATCTAACCCCCTAAAGTCCCTTTGCTGCACAAAATCACCCCCTAGCTTTGCGACTTTAGGCCTGCGTTCAGGGTGGGGAAACATACTATAGGGGTGTGATTTTTAAAGCACATGAATTGGCATAGACTTGTCTGTGTCCACTAGAAGCCCCCTAGTGTTTCAAATGGTACTACGTTAAAGTGCAGTAGGGAAGTACTAGTGCACACAGCAGGGCTTGCACACGCTAGTTAGCACACGTTTCTTTGCACAGGGTGTTTGTATCCTTAAGTGGAGTGCACACTGCTGCTCCGTGAAGACGAGGCCTTATTTTTATGCTCAGGAGCTAAACTGGATGTCTGATGACCTTTACCTGCCAGCTCCAAATACCGGGCTTTCAACCACGCTGCTACATGGAGATGGCATCTTCTACATCCAGACATCTAATCGTTCTCCTTAAATCCAGGTTAAAAACAGATTTTTCTAATTCTTAATCCCAGTTTTACTTTTCTCGGACATGTTCGACATATAGCACACTGGGGCTCATGCAAAATGCTTTTATGACTGTTCAATATCACATATAGAGTGCTAATGGATAGCGAATGTTAAGTCTCATATACTATGAGCTTTCAGACTTTGGGATAACAAGTTACACTGAGTGGATTCTAGTTTCTCAGTCAAACTAAACAGACTCACTCAAAAGGAAGCTCCTAATGATTATGCAGCAAAGAAAGTGTTTGTAACGATCCTTTACTTTAGTTCTCAGCATTAGCTAGAAATTCTCAGTGGTCTCTTATCTTTATACTAACCTAGTTTTGCTGTGAAAGAAGAGGAGAAACTGACAGATCTGAGGTCCTAGAAGAAGGGCACCCAATATAAATACTTTAACATCCCTCCCCAAAGAACCCAAGAAGGGAACCCACAAGTTGACTGCTTGTGGTTTTCATGGTTTGTTTTTTTTTAATTATCCATTACTCAATGTTAAAGAGTATTGTGAAGCAAGTGGTTTGGGTTCTGAATCAGAAACCACACAGCAGGATAGCCTGGAGCAAATACCATAACTAGAGCGGAGCGAGGAAAAAACTGCGGGGCCATTAAGAAAACTGGAAAGTGCTAAAAGAAAGCATTTTTGCTGCTTCACTCATTGTTTGTGTAGAAATTTCTGGCGTAGTGCGACTATTAATGCTAGATTGAGGAGTAAATCAAATTTAATAACTTCATTCAAAACAGAGCCAATGAAGGTCAGCTCAGAATGTTACAATGAAAAATCTGAGAACTCTACTAGAGTGAGCATAAGAAGCCAAATATATACAGCTTTGATCCAGTGTAGAGAATAAAACAATAAGAGACAAGATCCAAGCACAGGGATGCAGCATGGGTGGGGACGAGAGTTAACTGTAGGCTAACGAATGCCATTTGGACTAACTGTATTGCCATGCATTCAGCTCAAGACAGGATCCTTGTGGATGTTTTGCCCACAGGAAACAGGGTCTGGCCTTTGGTCTGAGGGTGCACCCGGCCCACCAACCACCTGATCTGGCCTGAAGACACAGTGGGAAGCCCCAGGCAGGCTCCCTGCTTGCCTCGTCCCACCCGCATGCCACTCAGAAAACTGGGTACCGGGCTGTTTCTTTTTACAACTGAGCAACCAAGAGGGTAGGGGAGAAAGGCTTCATGAGCAGCCCCCGCCCTCAGCACAATCACATTGGTTGGTTTCTGGCCAATGGGAGCTCCTCCACCTCTAGCTTGTAGTTATTCACGCAGGTACATGGCTCCTGAAGCCTGTGCAGGGGTGGGGCCGGCAGGCTGCCTGAGAATCCTGCTGGGCAGGAGTCACCCAGGTAAGTCTCCCTGCCAAGGCCTGCCTCTAGCACACCAGCCCTCCCTCTCCCAACCCTCTGCACCCCCCACTCCTGCTCTCCTACCTCACATAACCCAAACTCTCTGCCCCCTCCTACACTCAATACCCCCTTTCAGATCGGACACCCCAATTTTCTGCCCCAGGTCAGAACCCTTCCTGCTCTCAGTCCCAACCCAAACTCCTGCCCCCCCCCATACCCCAATACCCTGCCCCAGAGGTCATAACTCCCTCCTGCCCTAGATCACATCCCAATCCCCTGCAGTCCAGTCCCCTGCCCCAGGTCACAACCCAAACCCCTGCACCCCCGTCCTCTGCCCTAGATCACAAACACCTCCTTCATCCAAACTCCCTCCCAGACCCCACACCGTAATCCCTTACCCCAAGCTCCCTTCTGTACCCAACTTCCATCCCAGACCCTGCACTTCCTCTATTGATATCATAGAAGAGTGTAGCCCTTGACTATTTTCCAAAATCTTGGGAGTGGCTCCCTATAAAAAAATTATTGCCCACCCCTGGTCTATAGAGACCAAAGCAGATAACTCTGCACTACTTTACTAGCTGCCTCATACAACTGGTCACACTTCCTGCCAAAATGTCCAGAGTCACTTTTTCTTATTTCTTTCTTTCTTTCCCAGCTCCCTAGTCTACCAGAGGAACAGCAGCTGCCCTTACCACGACACCGCACGACAAATGCCCATCACTTAGCTAGCCTCTTCAGGGAAGTGCAGGCCTCTGCCCCCTCCCCCCCACTCCGACCTTATTTTAAAACTAATGAAATACACACACTTTGGTCATCTGATGAAGAATCCACAGCCAAGTGGCTGAAACTCAACAATCAACCTAGTGTAAAATTCTTGGACTCTAGTGCCCTTTTGCATTCTGATTTTTGTGGGGTTTTTTTAAAGCCACTATGTGGTCAGGACAAAATATTTGTGTGGGACCCACCTATAGATACAGACAGAGTAAAGCTGTGTTTGCATAAACCTTCCTGGAACAGATAAAATACTTCACTTGTAAACACCTGACTTTCAATATTAAACAACCAAGGGATAAGACTATCTGCAGGTGTAAAATAGCACAGAGCTTGCACGACAATTCTTGCAACCCAGCACCACTGTTAGCAAACAGGCAGTCACACAAGACCCTACCCACACTAGGGTGTGAAACTGTGCTGTTAAGAATTCTCACCTCATCCCTGGTCCCTTTCCATAGCCTGAACCCCCCCTGTACCCCACCCCCATGTCCCAGCCCAGAGTCCCTCCCCTACATATCCCTCCGCCCCACCTCAAACCCCTCATCTTTGGCCCCATCCCAGAGCCCACACCCCAGGAAAAGCCTTCATCCCCTGTACCCTAAACCCATCCCTACAGCCCCATCTTGGAGTCTGTACTCTAATCAAAAGATGTAATTATGCTGGGTCAAGGACATCAACAATTTTCTTCAACTGGGTCGCAAGAAAAAAACATTTGAAAACACTGGTCTAACCTAAGGCTTCTTTGCTGCAAGTTAGCCCATTACTTCTAGTCATGTCTTCTTCAGTGAATAAAGAAAACAATTTAAAATCACCGTCCTCTATATAATAAATAGCCTTTTACAAACTTGCAGACTTCTTTCCTACCCCAGACTTCTCCAGACTAAACAAACCCATGGGCTTGCATGGATCTAATTATTAACAACTCCCAGAAATATGGTGAGCAGAGAGCAAGTGCGAAAAATCAGGATGGGGGTGAAGGGTAACAGACAACAAAACATAGCTCTGAATAAGTCAGCACTGCCCCTGTAAAATCAGGACATCTGGTCACCCTACCAAGGAGTTTCAGGAGATAAGAGGACTACATGAGAGGGATCCAAGAAAGGAGCCTAATGTTTTTTGGCAAAGAATTCAGTCAAAGTGCATTTTAATTACACCCAGTTATGCCCCCGGTTTAACAGGGAAATCAGCCTAAACATGGCAATAAAGGAGTCAACACTTGCACTCTGTGTACTCTGGATTCAGAGTAATCTGTGAGGAGTAACAGGTAATTGCTTCTATTGTTATGACTGGAAACTTTGCAAATGAAGAAATGGGAAAATAAATTTCACATCTAATGTAATAGTTTTATTTCCTACAGAACTGCAGAACACCCACCAGTTCATTAGTCTGGCTTCAGAGCCACAGAATTCAGAGTGATTCAGTATCGAGGCAATGATTTGTAGGTGTTGCCTAGGCCTATGAACTATCACAAATTTACTATATATTTTAGAAATGTGCATTTGTCTGTCCATCTGAGAGTCTGTTTGTTCAAGAACTCCTCCTAAATGGTAAGAGGTAGGACCACCAAATTGGATATGCAGCTACCTCTTAACATAACTTAACGCAAGGTCAGGGTTTGGGTGTGCCAGGATAATGGGATGTGCATGGAATTAGACTGTTTCCCATAAAATGAAAAGGGAGGGTTGATAAGACGGAGATACATTGCAGAACAACAACAGGTAGACAGCAAGGAGTGAGAGATGGGGACCTGGACAGCTATAACCTCATTGGGCCAGCAGGGGGCGGGGTGGAGAAAGGGACAGCTATTTACTATATATTTCGCAGTTTGTCTGTGTGTCTGTCCCCCGATGGGGGACATGCACATCTCTCCCGGCTGTCCCTCTGTAGTTGCAGCAACCATGGACAGGAGCTTCTCACTTGGCCACAAGCTGCTGCTGTGAAAGAGGGCTAGGACTGCCCTCTCCCTCTGAGGCTGCCTGCATATTAAAATCCCTCATCCCCAGCGCCACCCTAAAACAATGATTTAAATGAAGAAAAACAAAACTTGTGTTATGGATCCAAGCAATACCAGGCTAATCTTCTAGTCCTCTGCATAATTCATTTATTTTTTCTAGGTGAAGTACTACATGGAGGGGTTTTTTTTGGGGGGGGGGGGGAGAAGAGGGTTGGGTTGCAATAAATATAAAACTTTGTTAATTCAGGGTGTCCCCATTATATGTCCAAGATATGTGCAAAAAAAAAAAAAAAAGTGGATGTATTGCAAAACGACAAAGCAGGGATTTTTGCCCCCCCATGGTGGTCTTTTTTTTTTTGTTGTTGTTGTACGAGCAACGTAAAAGTGGGGAATGGGAGGACATGTAACAC